TTTAAGGGAGAAGTGCCCCTCAGGAGGAGAAAAACGAGCCTCTGGGAGTTCTGGAGGCAAGTAGGGATATTTTTAAAATTTTCCCTTCTCTTAAGAGCAGGTCATTGTCTTTTCCAATGCCCTGGTTTCTTGCAATACCTGCAATTGTCTGGGGGCCAATGGGGAGGCCTCTGAGTGGGCTTTAGTTTACTTTTAGAATTGCCTTTTTGCTTCTCAAAAGATTCAACTTGTAAAGCAAGAAGAGTTGTCTTTAATTCTCTTTTTCCTTTGCTTTCATGCTGACTATTTTCAAAGAATTGTGTAGCAGCCTCCATTATTACGCTTAACGGTTGCCCTGACCAACCAACCACACTACTTTGAATTTGTTTTTTTATATCAGGAAGGAAGTTTCCAACTAAAGCATAAATTAGGAGAGTCATATGTTCTAGGGCTTCTGGGTTTAATGCAGTGTGCTTTTGAAAAGTTTGTATATAAAATGTGCGATAAAGGCTTTTGGATGTCCCCCTTCATTCTGAGTGCATAATTCAATTTTTGACCAATTAACTTTGGGAGCAAACACCTCTAAAATCACTCCTATTAAGCCTTGAATATCAGCCTCTAGTTGTGCCACTTCCTAGTCATTTGTAGGAGGTCCTGGGAGAGGGTCTGGCTGTCTATTTCCCCTGTGCTGGGGTTTTTTCCCAGGGGGTCGTCTGGCCTGTCTGATAACTAGGAAACCGGCAAACAGCCATTGATGATTAAGTATCTCGGTACTAAAGTTCTTTCCTTTTTGCAATTACTGATTATAGCTTTTAGCTGTTTAACCCGCGCATTGTTAACTGTGCTGCTTAGGCAACATGCTATCTGACTCTCAGTAGGCTCCTACAGATAACATCGCCCTGGAGCCTGGGTCACCACGGTAATGGGTGTGTGAGCTATTTGTCAGGAATTAGAACTCTGTCCACTTCAGGCTGGTTGAGACAGCCAACTCATCAACTGGCCCTGGGCAGGTGTCTGATGGGCGACCTGTTGACGTCAAAAGGCTAAAAACTCCACCCTCGGATCATGTTAAGGCCATAATTTTGTGAACATGGGACCTATGAAGAGGCGTGAAGTCTGACTGCGCCTGTGCAGATCGTCATTACCTCACCTCTCCTCACCTCCAATCACCTCTCTCCACACTTCAGACCACCTTGCCCCCCCACCCCATAAATATGCCTGAGTCCCTATTTTCAGGGAAGCGAATCTGAGGCTCATACTCTTGCTTCCTCAAGTGACTGCTTTGTGAGTAAACCCTCTGTCTGCTGCCATCTTGTCGGCTCGGTGCCATTTCTGGGCAGCAGGCAGAAACTTATCCGGTTCAGTAACAAATGGTGAGCCAGCCAGCAGCTAAGTGCAGACAGACATTTTTGCCTGAGATTTGTCAGCCCCTTGCCAGTGTGGCTGATAAGGGAGAGATGGCCCTGGGCCAAATGGGGCTGAGAAGGGTGCATGGAGCAGGTAGGACTCAAAGACTGTGCTTAATTTGCATTTTCATTTGACTAGTATTACCATAAAACCCTCAGTCCTACCTACTTCAGCTTGGCAGTGCTAGTTGGTTCTGCCTTTTTACCCCCTCTGCCATCCTTTAGTTTTATAGTTTACCTGGATGCTACTCTTTCCTCTATTTCATTTTTTTTCTTACTAGATTTCCCCTGGAGAGGGGGGTCCACAATAGCTGGCCTCTTTGCAGGAAAATTTAGAAATAGCTGATAAGAACACTGGAGGGGACTGAGTCTAACTCCCTCATTTGACAGATATGGAAACTCGGGCCCAGAGAAGTCATCCAGTAGGTTAGCTGGGGTCAAACCAGGCTGGATAGACTCCCTTCCACTGGACCTTTCTTATGGAGCATTAGAGGCAAAATGTCAAGATTCAACCCCTTGCTTATCAATAGCTTTCACCTTGGATAGAGGTCAGCAGATAAGCCTCAGGTTTCAAATATGCTGGATTAAAAATTTTTTTTTTTATTACACACCCACAGTATGGCTAAAATTAAAAAGACTGAAAATATCAAGGATATAGAACAACTAGAACTTTCAAACATTGCTTGTGAGAGTGTAAATTGATCAAAACACTTTGTAAAACTGCTTAGCAGTATCTATTAAGGCTCAACCATATGACCTAGCAATTCCACTCCTGGTTTTTACCCAAGAGATATCCACCAAAAGACAGGTGCATAAATGTTCATTGCAGCTTAATCTATAATAGCTAAAAATGAAACAATGCAAACATCCATCATCAGGAGAATGGGTAAATAATTTTTAGTATATTCATACAATGAAATACTACACTGCAAAGACAAACGAAACCCAAAAAAGAATGAACTACCCATTCACATTCACACAACAACATAGATAAATCTCAAATACATTATGTTAAGTAAAAAAAGCCAGACACAAAAGTGTACATAGATTCCATTTATATGAAGTTCAAGAACAGACAAAAGCTACTTTATGATGATAGAAGTCAGAATAGTAATTATTGAGAGGAGGGATTGGGGGCAAAGGTATACTGACATGAGAGAGACTTTGGAATGCTGGAAATGTTCCAGATCTTTATCTGGGTGGTAATTAATTACACAAGTATAAACGTATGTAAAATTCAGCTTGGGCTGAACATTAAAAATGTGCCCATTTCCTATATGTAAGCTATACCTCAGCTTTTTAAAAAAGTGCTGTCTATTGCATCTGCATTGTAGTAAAGGCAATGCAATAAAAATACATTTATAATTTCAAAAAATGCTTCATTTTTAAAATTCAAGGCTATCACAGTTATTGCTTTCATTTTCTCATACCTGGAAGATTGTATCACCTCCAAGTGGTTTGCCTGCTACCAATTCCTCCTCACTGACAGGTCAGCCTGCCAGGTACATAACTGATTTTGTTAATTTCTAGGTAGCTGAAAATTCAGTCTCTGAATCTGGTGCCAACCCAGATAACGAGAACAGAGTCTTCAGTGAACAGGAAAAAACAGCTTTACTTTCTTTGCCAGGCAGAGGGAGTAAAGCAATGGCTAGTGCCTTAAGAATTGCTAGCTCAGGGGCCAGCCCCGAGGCCGAGTGGTTAAGTTCACATGCTCCACTTCGGCAGCCCAGGGTTTCACTGGTTCAGATTTAGATGTGGCATCCCACATGCCACAAGTAGAAGGACCCACAACTAAAATATACAACTATGTACTGGGGGATTTGGGGAGAAAAAGCAGAAAGAAAGAAAAAAAAAGAGAATTGCTAGCTCCTCATTAAGAAACAGGTGAAGGGTTTTAAAGGTTTGCAAGGAATGTGGGGAAGGGGAATCCTGTGACCTTGCTGGCTGTCGTTTTCCCACCAGCCCGCATTTGGCCTTGTGAGGCTGCTTTCAAGGAGGAGATAAAGGAATTCGCAGATAGCAGTCCTTGGTTGTTTGTCTCCATGGCATGTGGCAGATTCTGGTACCAGGAAGCCAAGGAGTTGGGCTGTAGGAAGCTTCAGTTTTTGATAGTCTCTGGACATCAGTTTCCCTGTAACAAACTTCAAGGACCCTCCCCCTTCCCCCCCATTAGCCAAACTTTTGTGTGAGCTGAGGCCACCTGTTTGTTGTTTGTTTCAGACTTCTGGGCTCTAATGATTGATTTATAACTTCTATTTGGTTGTAAAGCTCAGGGAGTCCAAGGTTAAAGAAACATATTTACATATGAGTGTTACTAAAGAAGCAGGGAACGGGGTTGAATGCTTTTGGCTTTAACCCCATCTACGCAGGGTTCAATGTAGGGGAACTGATATCAGGGCCGGTATTAATTAAGAGCCTGTAACGTTCAGTTTAGCAATCTTCCTTGGCTCCCATATGTCTTTGGGATACAGTACAAATATCTCGTTGAAGCAAACAAAGACATTCCTAATCCACTCTCTATCTGCCTTTCCGGATCCAGGGAGACCTCTCTCCTCCATGCACTTAATCCTCAGTACACAAAACCTTCCACATCTCCACCTTTGGATTCCTGCCCTGTGCTTCCAATGCCCTACCTCTGCTTCTTCCTCTATCATATTCTTCCTCACATTTCACTGTCCAGCTCTCAAATGTCCACCCATGATTCCTACAACCCTCAGTTCCTACCTTCCTGCCTGTTTGCGAGCTCAGCACGCTCCCCATATTAAAACTCTCATTATTTTATTCCATCCTTCCCACCCAAGCTAAACGTTTCCTGAGAACTGGCATCATTTCTCTTTATCTCTGGATCCCTGTGCTCAGCACTTTGCTAAATAAATGGGTGCTAACAGAACTGAATTACAAGTTCCATTTTTGTCTCAGAATTCTAGTTTTCATAGTAATGTTGCTTCCCATTACATTTTTCCCTGTAGCAAACTTGGGGATGAAAGTGGATACAGATACAATTTAAATTGGACATAAATTAGTGTTGTCTCTAGTTTGGGTTTCCTACTTTTAAGAGACAGAAGTTTTCTGGTCTGTCCAATAGGATAGCCATTATAATATGCGGCTATTTAATTAGAAGTAAATACAATTAAAAATTCAGTTTCTCACTCTCATTAGCCACATTTCAAGTACTCAAAAACCTCATGTGGCTGGTGGCCACTGTATTGGACAGCGCAGAGTGGACTATTTCCACCATGGCGCCAAGTTCTGTGGGATAGCGCTGGAAATCTCTGGCCTCTCAGAACACTCTTCCACCCTCTTCCCACACCACTTGCCATTGTAACTACTTGTCTCTTTTAATAGACTGAGGGTTTCAGGACGTCAGGGGGCACTCAGTAAGTGCTGAATTAATGTGACTGGGAGGGACCTTCTAGACACCAGTCCCAAGCCCCTTCTCCATGCTGATCAGTTCCTTATGAGTCTCCAGCGTGTTTTCTCTTTAAGCTTATTTTTAATCATCGCCCTGAAAAGAAGAGGGAAGCGCGGTGCACCTGCTGCTTCCAGCTCCCAAGGCGGCCTGGGCAAGCAGAGGCCCCACACGCTCGCAGACGCTCCGCCCTGCCCGGCCCCGCTTTGCTGCGCCCCGGTCGGGCTGGCGCCAAGGCCGGGAGCCCAGGCTGCCGCCCTCCTTGGTCACCGCGCAGGCGCGGCCCACTGAGCTGGGAGCTTTCCGGGGCTGCCGGCTGCCGGCCGTCAGGAGCGCGGGCGTTTGCGGCGTGCGTTTGGCTTGCTCCAGCTGCGTACTACCTGAGACAGCGAGGTGCAGCGAGCCCAGTCTTCCGCTCCCTGGGCCCTGTGGCTATGGAGAATCAGGTGCTGACGCCGCACGTCTACTGGGCTCAGCGACACCGCGAGCTGTATCTGCGCGTGGAGCTGAGTGACGTGCAGGTAAAGGCCAGGGCCGGGCGGCGGGATGCGCGCGGGGTCGCGGCTCCTGGGACCCACCGGGACCCTCGCCCTCTGTCCGGGTGCGTACCGGGGAGCCAGCAGTGTGCAGACGGGATCCGCGACACCGGGCACTCCCGGCGTCGAGGCCCGGCCGCAGACCCCGGGCCCCAAGGGCTGCAGGTACTTTCCGGGGCTGCGGGAGTCCCGCGCGGGCCTCGGAGGCTGCCCCGGGCCTCCTCTTTGTTCCCAGGCTGCGGCCTGATGGTGCCCAAGCCCAGCCCTGGAGGCCTGGTGGTTGGAGTTCGGATTTGCCGAGGCCCTTCGAGGCGTGGGACGAGCTCGTTGGGTCGCGGGTGCGGTGTGACCGCGGCTGGCTGGGCCGTGGCTGGGCGCTCAGCGCTGGCCTGAGAGGTCCGGCCAGTCGCCTCGGACCCTCACAAGGTCCGCCGCTGCTTCAGAGGGGCCACACCCACCTCCCAACCGTTCCGTGGTGGTAATCATTCTTGTTCGTTTTAGTAAGTCTAGAAGACCTCGAAGAAGTGATTTTCCCCTCCGTTCTGAAGGCTGTGAGCTCAGATTTGCTGAGTTGCATAGAGAACTTGAAAATGGGCTTAAGTTAAATTGAGCGTTTCTGTTTCATCTCATTGGCCCCCTACGTGAACAGGTTGAGGCCTCGTCAGTGGTAGAGATCTCAGGACCTGTGTACCCCCATGTCTCTGTCCGAATCATCCAGGATTTCAGTCTTTGTGGAACCCGAGTTTTCAGTCTGGAATGTTCTTTCTGCAGTCATCCTTACTCCCTACTCTTCTTGACATCTGTGGCCCTTTGGAAGTGCCTTCACTTCCCTTACCTCCCTCTGCCTCTAAGTCAGGCCTTTATGTTTGGACCTGTCTAGCGTATCTGGTATATTGTCTTGCAAAACTAGGCCCTCTTCGAGTGTGGACTTAAATTTGTTGAATTTAATCTTTGCTTCTGGAGTATAAACCTGTTTTCCCATTGAAAGATAAAGACAATACTGGCCAGAATACCTTTAAATAGGCTGTGACATGGCGCAGTGTGTCATTTAATGTGTTAAACCAGGCTGAATTATACTTTTGCGTCAGAGAATGACTAGATGTTCCGTGCTGTCTTCCTCCACTGTGCTCCAGGGTGTTTTAATAAAAAAGGAAAAAGCAAACAAATCTTTGTAGATGGGGACCAAAGTCTCCATCTAGAGAGGGTTCTTCCAGCAATCAATCAGAAAAGTTCAGAACATGTGTTATGATAGTCTCTTTAAGTATTTAGTTAAGCATTAGTTGGACAAATGAAAGAATGCATCATACTTATATTTTTCTTCAAAGATCCAACCTCTTAGTTAAGAAACATGAACACGTGTTAATCATATTTCGTATATTTAAAAATATGAAGGTGTATGTTTGAAATATAGTTAAAATAAAGAAATGTAAAGGTGGAGGAAAAAATAGAATTTTCTTTTGGAGAGAGAAATCCTTTATTTTTGGGGAAAAAATAAATCTTTTTTCCCCAGTTGAGTTTTAGGTTTTTCTGGGATTTTGAGCCTGTAATTCTGAGGCATCCGTTTCAACTACTATTAGTTTGAAAGCAACGTGTTGGGGCTGGCCCAGTGGCATAGCAGTTAAGTTCTCACGTTCCACTTCGGCGGCCCGGGGTTCACTGGTTCTGATCCCGGGTGTGGACATGGCACCGTTTGGCAAGCCATGCTGTGGTAGGCGTCCCATATACAAAGTAGAGGAAGATGGGCACAGATGTCAGCTCAGGGCCAGTCTTCCTCAACAAAAAAAGGAGGATTGGCAGCAGTTAGCTCAGGGCTAATCTTCCTCAAAAAAAAAGGTGGTTTTAAGCCACCAAGTTTTGAGGTGGTTTCTTGCATTCTAAAGATAACTGAAACAATTAAGCATTTTTCAGACAATTGTTTGAATATAGACTGTTTATTAGATGATATAAAATGACTGTCCTCAGGAATGAGAAAACTGGCAATTATGTCAGAGAATGTCATTATTGATAGGAGAAGCGTACTGAAATATCTGGGGTAAAATGTCATAATGTCTGCAAGCTATTGTGAAATGCTTCAGAAAAAAAGTGCATATAAAGAGCAAGTGTGGAGGCCAGCCCAGTGGCGGAGTGTTTAAGTTTGCACCCTCTGCTTCGGCAGCCCAGGGTTTTGCAGGTTCAGATCCTGGGTGCGGACATGGTACCACTTGTCAGGCCATGCTGAGGTGGTGTCCCACATGCCACAAGTAGAAGGACCCACAACTAAAAATATATACAGCTATGTACCGGGGAGATTTGGAGAGAAGAAGGAAAAATAAAATCTTTTTTTAAAAAAAGAGCAAGTGTGACTAAATGTAATCACTTGATGAAAGGAATATGAGTATTCATTGTACTATTTTTTTTCCAATTTTTTAATAGATTTAAAATTTTTCAAGATAAAATGTTAGAGTGAGACGAATCACATTAAAAATAGACACTGTTATGGAGGGTCCCTAATACCCACCTACATGTTTGGTGATTCATTAGAAGGATTCATGAGACTCAGCATATAGTTGTCCTCATGGGTAAGGTTTATTACAGTTAAAGGATGTATAACAGGATCAGCAAAGGAAAAAAAACACAAGTGGAATCCACAGAAGTCTATGCACAGGCCTCCTCATCCGCTTTCCTCCTGTGAGGGGGTACGCGTGAGTGTGCTCTTTTCTCCAGCAATGCAAAATGCAGTTATTTGTGTGTAATGTTTCTGCTCAGGGAGGCCCGTTAGAGATTCAGCACCCATGGTTTTATTGGAGGCTGATTACTTAGGTACCCTCTGCCTAGCATGTACCAAAATTCTAGAGTCCCAGAAGGAGAGCTAGTGTTCACCATAAACTACGTTGTAGGCACGGTCTAGGTACACTGAACCAGCTCCATCAGTTAGGGGATGGAGGAAAGCCAGCTAAAGTCTCATCTTGGAAACAGTCCCTTTTAAAGACAGCAGCCTCACAGCAGCTATCTTAACTCTTTCCTGTGCGTATATGAGTTACATGTGCCGGTGCTCGAAGATCAATATTAACAATTTGAATGAGAAAGGAAACTTTTGTCTAAAGGGTTAGGTAGCAGATAGTTCATTGAACTCTGTAGTTTTGCCTGAAATAATGCAAATAGAGTGAATTGATTTAATTTCGGTTTGCTGAACAGTTATTGAGGCATTAGGGATTCAGAGACAAATAAGACAGAGTCCCTGCCATTAAGAAACTCAAGTTTAGAGTGCAGGTAAAGCAATAAACTAAATTACAGGACAGTGTGATATGTATCAGATAGTGTTGTAAGGAAGGTTTGAATCTGATGTTGGTGATGAGTAGGAGGGAGGAGGGATTAACATTTGACTTGGATTTTGAAAGATGAAGAGTATTCAATAGATATGGAAGCCTAGAAGGGCATTCTAGTCACAGGAAGAAAAGCAACTAGAATATAGAGTGCTTACTAGTTGCCAGACTCTTTGTATGTTTATAATTTAATTCTCACAACAATCTTGTGAAATAATTGGTTTTATTGTTTTAAAAATGATGACAGTTGCTGTGGATTTCAAAGTGAGTGATAGAAATAAAAAGTGGGGGGCCAGCTCTGTGGCCGAGTGGTTAAGTTCGGGTGCTCAGCTGCGGCGGCCCAGGGTTCGGATCCTGGGCGCGGACATGGCGCCGCTCGTCAGGCCATGTTGAGGCAGCGTCCCACATCCCACAACTACAAGGACCGGCAACTAAGATAAGATATACAACTGTGTTGTACAGGGGCCAGTTTGGGGAGATAAAACAGAAAAAAAAAAAAAAATTGGCAACAGTTGTTAGGCCAGGTGCCAATCCTTACAAAAAAAGAGGAAGATTGGCAACAGTTGTTAGCCCAGGTGCCAATCTTTAAAAAAAAAAAAAGTGATATAACTAGAATTTGAACTCAGGCCCATCTGACTTCAAAGCCACCTTTTTCCCTTTTCGCTAACCACTCCTCTTTCATAAGCAAAGGCACAATTCCGTCTCTAGTAAAAGATGGGCTAGATTGTGCTGATCAACTCTTCTACTAAAAACGACTGAAAGTGTTGAATAAAAATCCTCAAGTCATCAAAGAGTTAACAAGCTAGAAATTAAAGTGGAAAGTCAGAGAGGTAAGCTAAACATTGAAACTGCTTTTACCTTAAGAATATTTGCTCAACTGAGTAAACTTGAACTTTGGTTTTGATAGCCTGACAGAGTTCAGGGGATAGAAGTCAGATCAAAGCCCACCAGAGCGACAATATATAATAGGAAACCCTTCTCCCCGTAAACTGTACTTGAGAGAACTATATGCTTAAGGGAGGGGTGAGCTGGGAGTAAATCTATCCCACCTCCCCCTCCCCAGATGCCTTAGCACTGAGCAAAGTAGAGGAAAAAGTCCTTGAGGAGTTAAAACCATTAGTTGGCTCTCAAAAGATTATACAGCCTAAATTTATGCAATTTTGGAGATCTAGAAGCTCTCAAGCCATGAATTTAGTTTAAAGTGGTCTCAACTGGTAGGTCCCTAGGTACCTGGCAAAAGCAAATGCAGATCCCTGTGGTATAGCTATGCTGATATCAGATAAGAGTTTTAGGCAAAAATGTATTTCTAAAAATAAAAAGGTCAGTTCATGATCATAGAGATACAATTCATCAGGAAAATATAACAATATCAAAATTATGTGTACCTAGTAATATGGCCTTGATAATATGTAAATTAATGGAAGTACGAGAAGAGATAGACAAGAGTACAATAGTGTGATTTCTCAATAATTGAGATAATAAGACAAAAATCAGTAAAGATATAGATTATGTGAACAAGTAATAAACAGTAAACCTAATGGACATATATAGAACACTGCATCTGACAACTCTAGAATGCACATTCTTTTCAAGTTCACTCAGAACATTTACAAAAATTGACTGTATACTGCTTTCTAAAACAAGTTTCTACAAATTTGAAATGATTAAAATCATACAGAGGTTGTTCTCTGATCACAGTGCAATTGAGGTAGAAATTAATAACAAAATAACTAGAAAATCTTTTAAGCTTGGAAGTTAAACACTTCTCAATAACCCATGTTTCAAGAAAAAAATGATAATGGAAATTAGAAAATGTTTTAGATAGAATGATAGTGAAAATACTGCTTTCAAAGCTTGAGAGATACAACCAAAGTAGGAGTTGGCAGGAAGTGTATATTCTTAAATGCTTATATTTAACAGCATTAATTAAAAGAAAAGAGTAAAGTCTGAATATTAATGTCCTATGAATCCATTTCAAGAAAGTAGAAAAAAGATAGCAAATTCTCCCAAAGAAAGTTGAAGGAAAGAAATAATAAAGATAAGAGCAAAAATAAAAAACAGAGATAGAATCAATAAAACTAAAAATTAGTTCTTGAAAAGACAATTAAAATGGACAGATTTCTTGACAAGATTAAGACACAAACCATATCAGTAATGAAAAAGAAGACAACCACAGAAGCTACAGACATTAAACAGTGAAGAGAATATTAAATAATTTTACATCAGATAAAATGGTCAAATTCTAAGAAAGATAGTTTCTATCAAAGAGAGAGAACCTGAATAGCACAGTAACCATTAAATAAATTGAATCAGTAGTCAAAAATCTTCCCATAAGAAAATTTCCATGGGGCTGGCCCCATGGCCGAGTGGTTAAGTTCGCGCGCTCCGCTGCAGGCGGCCCAGTGTTTCGTTGGTTTGAATCCTTGGCGCAGACATGGCACTGCTCATCAAACCACGCTGAGGCAGCGTCCCACATGCCACAACTAGAGGGACCCACAACGAAGAATATACAACTATGTACCAGGGGGCTTTGGGGAGAAAAAGGAAAAAAATAAAATCTGTAAAAAAAAAAAAAAGAAAAAAAAAATTTCCAGGTTCAAGTGGCTTCACTGGAGAGTTCCACCAAATATTTAAAGAAGTAATTCCAGTTTTATTAGTTATCTATTGCTGCGTAACAAATCAGCCAACAGTGTAGTGGCTTAAAACAACAATAATCATTTATTATCTCTCTGTTTCTGTGAGTCCTTCAGGAAGGACTCAGTTGGGTTGTTGTGGGTTCTCTCATGAGGTTGTAGTCAGATGTCAGTTGTGGTTGAGGCCATATGATGGCCTGGAGTATCCACTTCAAGGATGTTTTACTCACCTATTGGCAAGTTGGTGCCCACAAGTTATTTCTCCACATAGGCCTCTCCATGTGACTGTTTGAGTGTTCTCATGCCTTGGTGTCTGGCTTTGCCCAGAGTGAGGGGCCCAACAAGCCTGGATGGAAGCTGCAATGCCTTTTATGACCTAAATTCAGGAGTCACATTGTTGCTTCCACTGTATTCTGTTGCTTATACAGATCATCCCTGACGTCATTTGGGAGGGGACTACACAAGAGTGTAAATAGTGGGGAGAGGATCCTGGGGGGCATCTTGAAGGCTGGCTACCATCCCAGACTTCCACTTACATTTCCAGAGAAGAGAGAGACGGGGGCTGGCCCCGTGGCCGAGTGGTTAAGTTTGCAAGCTCTGCTTCAGCGGCCCAGGGTTTCGCTGGTTCCGATCCTGGGTGCGGACTTGGTACTGCTCATCAAGCCATGCTGAGGCAGCGTCCCAGTTGCCACAACTAGAAGGGCCCACAACTAAAATATACAACTATGTACCACGGGGCTTTGGGGAGAAAAAGGAAAAACCTTTAAAAGAGAGAAAGGGAACACTCTCCAGCTTATTTTATGAGGCAAATATAAGAAAGGTAATTTATAGGCCAATCTCACTTATAAATATTGATATTAATTTTTTTTAAGTGCTTCAGAGTCTCTTCCTATTCAGTTTTGAACTTTTTTCTGGCATAAGCATTTTTTTTACTGAAATATATTCCTCCACTACCACCACCTTTGGAGAAACTGAACCTGACGTGCCCAGGGTACTGCTGGGCAGGAGCTGTCCCATAATTGCCAAGTTAGCATCTGAAATCTGGCTCACAGAAATGCTTAGTGAACTCCTGGGCTTGTGCTAGACACTTACACCGTGGTTGCACACATTTATCTGTCTGAAGAGATTAAACCGGGCCCCTAAACCTGCTCTTTCTTCCAAGTGAATTAGGGTATGGAGAGCACACAGATTTGGGCAAGAAGTGACCTAGGTAGGAATTTACTGTTAAGACACGCCATAGCTCGAGCTTTTATGATAATATTTACATCAAAGACCCCGTTTCCGTGGATGAGCAACCGTGCCCCTGGAAGTGTAGTCCTTTTTGAAGAGGTTCCCTGACTCCCTCTTCCTGCCACAGGGGTCGTCTAGATTTTTCGTTCCTTTGGGTGAGCTTCTTAGCCTGAGGTCTGTTCTCTCACTGGGAACATTCTTAACATAAAGTGTGGCTCACGTGCTACCCCTCCAGCCTTCATTCTTCCCCTTTTCCTAACACTTGGCTATGAGTAGAGCATCTAGGCTCCCACTGCCCGCTAGTATACCCGCTCTCCAACCTTCTCTCTCTCGTTGGTTTCCTTTGATGCATGATAGAGCACAGAGAGCTGAGTCTGCAGGAGAGAAATAAATGAATTAGTTATGGCACTGGAAACATGCTGCTTCTTGCTTATCAACGTTGAGCTGGGAGACAGGAGGTGAGTTGTTTCTCATCCGCTGAAGAAAAGGATTAAATAGTTTCACTCTGAATTATACTGTTAAACGCATGTAGCAAATTCTGGGAATAAAGGAGCAATTTGGAGAATTTTGATCTCTTTTAGCCTTGGTTTTGTTGAAGGTAGAGTGTGGAGCCTGAGGTTAAGGCACTGCATGTTTCACTTTCATCCAACCACCTGTAATCCTCAGCCCTTCCCTCCACCTATTGGAATTAATTTATTCTTCACGTTGCAGCATAGGTCTCACTTTTGGTTATGCCCAACCATTCTCTTCCTATTGTGCGCACTCTTCCAAACGCCTGTAACAATTACTTCTTTTTACTACTCTTTTGGTCTTGAGCATACATTATTTAATACTATTTGATATTTACTCGCAGGAAATGACTCATCTGTTCCACTAAATTCTCTGCCTCCACAGCTCAGGGACCGAGTCTTAGAGATCTGTGTGTTCCCCCATAACACCTCAGATAGCACGTTGCGCCATTTGCCATCTTCAGGGTGGACTGACTGAGTATCTGGTTGTTCTGCACAGTGAGAGCAGTTTAGGGTCGTTCTTGCAGGAGCCTGCAATCTCAGATGGATACAGAGAGACATAGAGAAGCCTCACACAGAGGTGTGAATCAACAACTACATATATTCTCTGGGTGGGGCACAGGGTAGGAGATCGAGTTCTCCAAGGGGGAAGGATGGAGGAAAGTAAACCCCTGGTTTTAATTTCATTTTTATCCTCATTAAAATGCCCTTCTTGCATCCTTGGTCTCTTTTCACAGAATCCTGCCATAAGCATCACTGAAAATGTGCTGCATTTCAAAGGTCAGTATCCCGGCAAATGCTCCCAGCTCTCTACATAGTTAAGGAGTGTGGTGTTGGTTTCTTTTTATTTTTGTCTATTTGTTTTATTCACTTTCTATTGATGCTCACCTCTCTGATAGTCTTGGGATCTAGATTGTTTTGAAATATTTGATTAGAAAAGTCAAAGAATTTGTTTAAAATCCTGCTCTCCTCTTGGAGAGGCAGTAGATATAGTGAAAAAGAATCCTGGACTAGAGATTGGGAGATCTGTTTTCTAGCTCTAATTCTGCTACTGCCTCAGACAACTTACTGACTTCTCTGGACCTATAAAATGAGGGTATTGCGTTATAATCTGTGTTTCTCAAACTTTCAGACCCATGGACAACTGAGAATATGTCTTCAGGATCTTCCAGGACCATGGACCCCAGATTGAGAAACATGTTAAGAGTTTAAATATGGTCACTTTAAGTGACAGCTCCGTTGCAGCTGTGAACACAGATGCAAAGGCAGCCACTGAACTTGTGTGGCAGTACTTGGTTATAAAGTAGCCATCTAGATGATCTGGAATATGCTGCTGCTTTTTTTTCCTCAGATTATAATGAAAACAAAAAATAGAAACTTTCTTAATGAGGCTTTTTGGCTCCCTGATATTACACTTACAGATCAGTTTAAGAAATACTGCACACTAGGTGATGCATAGCTAAAGCCTTTCCAGCTCCGACAGTCTTTGATTCTGTGAATCTACCTCCATCTCCTTTCTGCTCAGTTCATCAGCAGATTTGCTGCTGTGCCTGAGAGGGTAGGTGTGGATTCATTGTCACCCAGTGCGGAGGGGACATTCTCCCTACTCTCTCTCTCCTTGTTCCTTGGAATGTCATTTCTAAGTGACAGGTTATGGGGTATTGAAGAGTTTCTGTTTTACGTGAGGTTCCATCTACCTTGCATTGAAAGCACAGCCTGGCTTTTGTATGTACTTTTCAAGCTGAGAGCAGTGTGGTAGCAGCTCAGATTTTTTGGGGAGTTATACATCTGAAAGGAAGTTAAAATGATAAAAGTGTATCTTGCCATTTGGAGCTTGTAGACTGTTCTACCTTAAAGAATTTGTGGTTTTAGAGAACAATAGCCACCTGTAGCAAATATTAGGCAAGTTATACCACATATGGCCAGATGAGGAAAGAGAATCCCAGGAGGGAACCAAGTGATAGACAAGTCAGAGAGGGGAAGGGATATCCAGCAGTCACTGGCACCTAGGCCTAGTGTCTGCTTGGTTTGGGGAAAGGAGCCATGTCAGGGCACAGGGATGGCATAATGGTCAACCCCGGGACTTTCCTCCCAGTTCTACTTTTCCTCTCTTAGGAATGAACTGAGAAAATTTTATTTCTCTTTTTTGTTCCATTTGGGATGTACTGAAGGAGAATTCAGCTTCTTCGTTTTCTGCCTCTGGTTAGGAGGTTTTAGATTCAGAGCTTTCTTTGAGACAATCCAGCATTTCTGTGTACCCTGCAACTTTTCTTAACTGCAGCCAAGATAATACATCTACCTGATTTTTCTCTGCTCTGGATTCAGTGCCAAAGTAAATGTGAAAGTTAAATTTTTATCTATGGGGTACCTTTGGTTTTGCATCCTGTATTCTTTTTCCTGCCTATTATTTCTACTGGGTATCATCAAGGCCGCATTGGAAGATTAAGTAAATACTCTGGAACTGATCATCAGGAAGGATGTATAGAGAGAACGTTTTTGTCCAGGATTTAGCTTGTCTAGCTGTTGAATACCTCTGTTCACAAGCCCCTACTCATTTTGGCAGCACCCATTAATATTTGTGTAATTTTTAAAGAACCGCACCAAGCTTTTGGATGGCCTTGCTCTGCTCAAGTTCACAGTAACCGACTTTTCTTTCTTTATAGCTCAGGGACACGGTGCCAAAGGAGACAATGTCTATGAATTTCACCTGGAGTTCCTAGACCTTGTGAAGCCAGAGGTATGTTATTTCCTTTCTCACTTCCCTTTCCGTTTTAGGAAGTAAATACCAGTAGTTTAGTGAAATGGGGAGCAGGGGTTGTGGGAAAGGAGAAGATAAAAACCAAAGGACAATATGTCCTTCATTTGGAGCAGAGCTCAGGTTTTAGCAGCAGAGGAATGGGAAAGTCGGGGAACCTGAAGTGAATCTGGGCTCTGCCATTTATTAGCAGAGCGAAAAGTCTCTTCACTTCTTTGAGTTCCAGTTTCCTCATGTGTTAAATGAAGAGTTGAACTAAGTGATCTCTAGTCATCCTTTCCAGCTCCGATAGTCTCTGGTTTTTACTGATGACAGAGGAATATGGCACCTATAGAGAGCAGAGTTATATAGGGTAAGTGAAGCTCATGCCACAGTGTTACTTTCATGTGACTTTACCACAGGGGCAATAGAAATCAGAAAAGGCGGAGGCAGCTGATCTTTAGAAAGAATGCTGGAAGTATAATTGAAGTTTCCCTTCTCTCAGAACTTGAGGAAGCTTCTCTAACAGGAAGGAAGAGAATCCAACAGCTGGCATATTTCAGTTTCTTATCTCTGCAGGCTTGAGCATGTTGATCTCTCTCTGCAGGAGGGCTCAGTTATTTTATTTGTTTTAATAGTCAGCAATGGTTTAAGGGGTAGAGAATCTGTCATGGTTCTTGCTTTGGAGACAGGGACAGGCCATGTGGAGGAATGATGAACTGGAACAGCATCTAAGAATTTGAGTTTAGTTGGGAAGACTTCCTAGGCTGACCCTTGTGAAAAAGGTGTAACTGATCCAGTGCAGTTCTGGCCTTGGTTAGACCTTTGTAAAACAGGGGGTCGCTCTGCCAGGACCGTTGACTATTTGCTTTCAGTCCCCTTCATGGGAGGAAAATTTGGAAAGTGAGGATGCACTTGAGAGAGAGATTGGATGCAGTACCTTGCATGATATAGATCTGGCAGGAGGTTCATGCTAGTTTCCTCTAGGATAACTAGGAACTATCTGCCTTTGTTATTCTGATTTCCTCCTGTGTCATTCATTGGGGGAATCGGAGAAAGACAGTGCTGTTCTTACCAGTTCTTCCCTATATCAACCCTTGATCCACATGTTCTCTTTGTGTCAGGACTTGTAGGAACAGAGAAGGAAGAGGGATAAGCATGCCATGCAGATTCTCTGTATAGCCGCACTGACTTGGTGCAATTTCAGGGGAAGGAGTGAGGGATGGGAAGGAGAGGGCATTCTCACATTCTCACTTTCTCTCTTAGCCGGTTTACAAACTGACCCAGAGGCAGGTAAACATTACGGTACAGAAGAAGGTGAGTCAGTGGTGGGAAAGACTCACCAAGCAGGAGAAGCGCCCACTGTTTTTGGCCCCTGACTTTGACCGCTGGCTGGACGAGTCTGATGCAGAAATGGAGCTCAGAGCCAAGGTCAGTAAGGACCCTGGGATCTAGACAGAAATCATGAGGAACACAAGATATTTGGGCCACCTCAAATAGCTATCAGGGTCTGATAGAATAAGAACAAAGTTACAAATTCAGTTGAAGACTTGGAGACATGGTTTTATAGAAATACTAGTCATGTGTTTTGTAGCCTGTCCCTCAATTGGGATTTGTTTGATGTATTTCTCATGATTAGACTAGGGTGATGGGTTTTTGGGGAAAAGACCACAGAAGTTTCATTCTCTATTAATTTCATTCTCTATTAATTAATTTCATTCTCTATTAATCTTAATCATCTGCCTAAGGTAATATTTGTCATGTTTCTCCACTGTAATGTTACTCCCTCCCTTTCCTTATGTATACTCTCGGAGGGAGGTCACTATGTGTAGCCCATGCTTAAGGAGCGAGGAGTTATGCTTTCCATCCTTAGGGTGGAGTATCGACATACTTTAGTTGGAATTCTGCTTGGGAGATTTGTCTATTTTCTCCCATTTATTTATATCAGCATGGACTCATGAATATTTTATGATTTGGGTTATAATCCAATACTGTGTTATTTATTTTCTTGCTCAAATTGTTCCAGCTTTGGCCATTGGAAGCTCTTCCAGTTGGCTCTTTGTCTCTTTGACAAAACTCCATCATTGTTGGGCTTTGGGGGGGTGGGGGCACTTCCTTAATTTCTAGCACTATAAGCTGCTCTAGGCTTATCTTGTATATTCCCTGCACTAGCCCTAGAAACACCCATTCTTTAAGGGGTTCTGTTCTTTTTATTGGAGAATGGTAGTGGAAACCAAATCTGGGCTCTGGGTATGCTCATTGCTACTGGAGTGTCATTGCTACTAGGCCCTCTCAGCTGACAGAACAAGGAACTATATGTGTGTATACACACCTATGCATATACGTATATCTATAAATATTTGTATATGTATCCATCTGTATCTGAATTAACCTAATATGAATTCATACTATTGGATTCATGATTTTAGCTTCTGGAAAAATTATGCTAAAAATCTAGAAGTCTTAAAAAATAAAAAAGCAATCTATTTCCTGCCTTAAATTTCTGTTTTGTTTTTACAACTGTGACAAATCTTCTGGATGTCTTTTCCAGCTCTAAGATTCCAAGACTACCCGCTTTGTAGTTTGGAAGCCAGCTGATTGGTTTATTCCTGTGAGCAGTGGATGGGCATTCTGTGATGCCGGTGCTACCCAGTAGGGAAGAGTCAGACTTTTCGGCATCATGAACTAGGACATTTTTCCCAGTAAAGCATGGATGTAATTGGAGGAGGTGGCTTTGAGGGAGTCAGATCACTTATCTAGCATGTGGACTTTTGCAAGCATCTGGGAGTTCTAACTTGTGTTCTTGGAAAACTTCTGTCCAAATTCTAGGAAGAAGAACGCCTAAATAAACTCAGACTGGAAAGCCAAGGCTCTCCTGAAAGTAAGTTGCCCCTGTGGTGTGGTAGTTACCAGTTAACTTGAGATAGAGATGGAGGTATGCATGAGTGTGATTGTGTAGCTGAGCTGATGAGAAATCCTTAATGTTCAGTGTTTAAGTTGTGCACACCCACATCAGAATCCTTGCTGTTTGGCGTCTGACATCATCTGAGTACACCAGGGCTGGTAGAACCTTAGTCTCTTGGACTGGCCTAATGTTAGGTGGCAGCGAGTCCTGCATAGACATGTGAAAATGCTATGCAGACCCAAGGCTACACTCCTTCTAGCCTGGTGTTTTTCCCAACAGAGATCTCAAGGGCTGTGCCACAGATTAGTGTGGTTGCCAACTTAAAAAATCCATTTCTATCTGTCCAACCCCACCTATAAGCAAGAAGCTCTGTAAATGTATTATCTTCTGGATGACATAAATTAAATTCAGTAACTATCTATTAAATTCATGCTATATGGGGAGCATTGTACTAGGCCCTTGAGGTGCGGAGCCAATGAATTCATCATAGTGCCTGAGCTCTAAGAGCTTGCATTCTCGAGGGAGGACCATGAAAGTTTGTAAAACTAACACTGAGAAGCAGAATAAAATAAGGGTTCCTCATTTGTCCTAAATCGAGCTTTTTCAGATTTTAGTGGTCCTTAGTTGGCATGCCATAAGTTGGGAAGGGTAAAGCTTTAGAGCACTGGTTTTCAAACTCTATTCCATGGTGCCCCAGGGGTTCCCAGAGATGCTTTGGAGGGATAAGAGCAAGCAGGTCCACTTCAGTCAGAGCAGCTCTGCTTTGGTGTTGTATGTATTGGGATTTTCAGTGAAGTTTCTTTAAAAAAGATTTGAATAACTACTAATTTAGAGGACTACTCATTTAGAAAAGCAAAGAAGGGGAGAGGATTAGTGGAGGTAAAGAATAACAACAACATGAAAAGGCCAATTTGAGACTTAAATTAATTTTTTAGTGTTTTAGGGGGATAAACTTCAAAAATATGTAAAAATTCATATATATGGATTTTTAGGATGTTAGTTAAAGCTTTAACTCTTTTTAATCTAAATTCATAGTTTAGTGGTGAAAGAATTTCTTTATCATGGGGAAGTATAATAAATTTTTGTAGTTGAAGAAAAAATTTTAATTAGTTAGATGTTGTTAAAAGTCTGACTTTTTTTGGCTCCTTAGGATAAGGTTTCTTTTGATTGACCATGCTATTTACCGTGATTAACTGAGCATCAATGAAGTGTGTATGTAAAGTATCTGTAGCCTAGGAATAAATATGTAGCAGCAAAATCTGAACTCCCTAGCTCTTCTCTTGGAGAATTGTCCCTGCGTTTACCCTGCTTCTTGGACTCAACCAGGACTCTGTCTAAGCTCCTTACTCCTTCCTTAACTCTGTAATTGGCTATGTCTTCACGAACCTTATGCTACAGACAAGATTAATGTCCATTCCCTTGCCTCTCAGTTTATAATTTTCCTCCTTTGGTTTTATCCTCACTCTACCCATCTTTCAAAGCCCAGATCAGATACCATCTCACCCATGCAGACTTGCCTGAGTCCCAGTTCCCCAGCTAGTGTCATTTTCTCACCTTGAATTTTCACAAGGTATTACCTGTCTCTCTCCATCTTGTGTTATGGTTTTTAGATTGTAAAATCTTTGAGGGCAGCATCATGTCTTAACCATCTTTAAATCCCAGTAGTTCCCCTCATACCACCTTGCACATTGTAGGTGTTCAGTTAATACTAGGTTGAATGACTATATAATCAAATATCAGGATTTTTTTTTTTCATTACTGTGTCTATCTCTTTGACCTAGTTTGACCTGCATGACCTTAAAAAATTCCAGCAAAGAAGAAACTGTAGGTTATATTAAGATTGACAAGGGCAGGAGCTGGTTGTAACTTTATTTCCCTCCTCTAATGCCTCCTGAGCTGGTCATTCTTTGCCAGGGGCAATTTTTCTTTTTTCTTCTTGGATTTATGATGTCTGTATACTTACCCTTCAAGGCTGTGACAGGAAAGATCACTGAAGACATAGCTTAGAGTACAATGTTCCTCATAATTTTTCCTTATCTGTTTCTCTCTGGGGCCGGGAGCCCAGGCTGGTTCAGACCTGGGCCAGGTATTTGTGTGGGAGCTTAGGGCACCCAAGTAGGAAAGAGGGATGAAGTCATCTGGGTTTTCCCCATATACCCCTCTCCTGCTGTGATTACTGCTTTGAACACCTTCTTGCCTTGCTTTGCTTTTCAGCTCTTACAAGCTTGAAGAAAGGATACCTATTCATGTATAATCTTGTTCAGTTCTTGGGATTCTCCTGGATATTTGTCAACATGACTGTGCGGTTCTTTATCTTGGGAAAAGGCAAGTCAAAATTTCAAGCCTGATTTTCTTTTTTCAGTAGTTTGGCCCACTACTCACCAAAGGTAACACTCTTTGCCTTTGGTATTTGTAATAGCCCCTACCCCCCACGTTTGTGTAGCATTTCATGCCTTCATTTACTTTCACATCTCTTATTTCTCCTGGTCTTGTGAAACAAGCAGATTAGATATTCTGGCCATTTAACAGGTGAGGAAACAAGCTTAGAGAAGGTCAAAGAAATGGTCCACGTCCACACAGCTCACCAGGGGCACATCTTGGGCTAGCATCCCTTTCCTATTCACTACTTGATATTCATTTTTAACTAAATAAATTGATGTTATGATACTTCCATGCCAAAGTTATGCAAGTCCAAAAGGGATCTCACCTCTTTGGAGCCTAAATAGATTCTCAGATGGACTATTCTAAAACTGAATGAAAAGACTATCACAAAGATACTAGTTCTTGCTAAATTAACTTATATGTGGTGTTTTTTTTTGAGCAAGATTAGCCCTGAGCTAACATCTGCTGCCAATCCTCCTCTTTTTGCTGAGGAAGACTGGCCCTGAGCTAACATCCATGCCCATCTTCCTCTACTTTATATGTGGGATGCCTACCACAGCATGGCTTGCCAAGTGTTGCCATGTCTGCACTCAGGGTCCAAACTGGCAAACCCTTGGCCACCGAAGTGGAACGTGCACACTTAACCACTGCGCCACTGGGCCAGCCCCCTAACTTATGTGTTTAATAGAATTCCGGACAAAGTAAATGACAATGGAAAATTTTTGAAAATGTGATCTAAAGTATTCTGAAGTTTTATTAAGAACAATAGATAGATAATAAAATTTGGGGGACTAAAGAGTAATGGGAGAGGACTTTCTCTACCTGATATGAAAGAATGGTAATTAACATAATATAGCATTAGTATAAGAATAGACTAATCAACAGAGCAGATTAGGTGGCCCAGAAATAATTCTTACGTTATATGTATCCAAAATATATATGTGATACAAAAAGAATCATGAATCAATGGAAAGGGGAATATTATCCACTAATTTTTTATTGGATGGGAAATCTGATAATATTTTCTAGGAAAATTGGTTAGGTTTGGGTGCATGAGGGAGACAAGCAATCTGTTTGACTCTTCTCACATTATACAAAATAAATTTCCCCAAAGGATTTAAGAGTCATGTATCAAAAAGTTAGGTCATAGTAGAAGATATAAGTAAATGGTTATAAAAATCTCATATGGAGAGTTAGGACTTTCTAAGCTTAAAAATGTTAGAAGAAATAAAGAAAGCTCAATACATTTGACTATGTAAAATACCTAAATTCATGTATATTTAACAACATCTGAGTCAAGACAACATTAAAGTTTAAAAGCACATTGAGGTGAGCAGCATGGGAATAGAGGGTCGGTGGAAAATTGTAACAAACATCAGCAAGAGTTGTTTTTCTTTTCACGTATAAAGAACCTTGTACAAATTGATTTAAAAATGTGAAAACTCCACCCAGTAGATAAATAAACAAAAATCATTATAGATAGTTCATAAGAGAAAATAAAGCTAATTAAACATACAGCAAAATGTTTAACTCAGCAATGATGAAGGAACTGAAAAGTAAAATATTATTTTTTATTTACCAATTTTGCAAAGTTATAAAAGATACCTAATTCAAGAGGACGTAGGCTAAATTTAGTGAACACTCCAGTGGCTATTGGGAGGGGACATAAGGACAACAACTCTTTTGAAATCATTTAACAAGGTGCATTAAGAACCTTAACTGTTCATATCCTTGAACTTGGTTTGTCACTCCTGAAAATAAGTTCTAAGGAGAAAATTGAAACCTCAAGAAAAGCTTTTTCAAAAAAGATTTGCTTTATGGTATTATTTATATTAGTGACAAATTAGAAACTACCTAAATGTCCAATGAGGGATTGCTTTAGAACATTCCTTCAGTTGAATGTTGTGAAGCAAATATAAAGTGTTTAAAAAGTTTGTAGTAACGTGGAAAAATACTTACGATAGGCTAAAAAAGTAACATATAAGTTTGTTCTTCCAGTTTGATCACACCAATATGAAAAGGAGAAAAAAACTAACCAGTACATGCAAAAAGATTGGAGGAAAATGCACCATTTTCAAATGGTTTGAATGGATAATTAAAAATTATTTCTTTCTTTTATAAAGCAAATATGAAGAAAAATATAAGTATTATGGAAAATATGAATTTTATTTAAAAAGAGGAAAAAATCCTATAGGCTCTTTTAGTCTTCAGTCCTAAATTTTCCCGTCTGAAGTTTGTGGAGGTGAATTGTAGTTAGCTTTAGAGTCATTTGAAAGAAGAAGTGCGTGTTGTTTTTTCAGCCTTCTGTACACCTTGGAATTCTGCAGAGCACAGTAGCAGGCTGGTGGAAAACTGTCCAAATGCCTGGTGTCTTAAAGTCATGTGTGACCAGAGGTCTACAGATGAGTTATTTAAAGAAACAAAGAAAGTCTCAGACACAGTTATTCTCAGACCTGTAGCTTTTATTAGTATGGATTTATCCCAAGTCCCATGGAATGAATAAGGACATTCAAATACATAAAAAATTTATTTAACCTAACGTAGTTGGGCTGATTCTGAGTATTCCCGTGCAAGCCTGCTGGCTGCTAGGTTATCTGGGTCATGTGTTTAAAGTGAGCTGCCTGGATTTGTAATTTCTGTTTTGGCTCTGAGCCCCTTCCTGACTACCTGCTGGTTTGGGACTGCTGCTTTAGATGTAGTAGGGACCTGGGGCCTGGCACCCAGGGTCATAGTTTGCCTCTTGTAAGTTTTTCCTTTTGAATAAAGGATGCTGGGTGAGTGGCAAATTCCACACATGTACTTGTTCTGTCATGTAAACATGTGCTTGTTAAACTTCTCATGCTGAGGAAACAGCAGCAAACTCTTGGGCTTATGTAGAAACTCTTGTTTGAGTTTGTCTAGCTCTCTATTAAGGAATACTTTTTTATTAAATTTTTATTTTTTTCTAATTATAAAAATAAGTGTTAATTACAGAAAAATGAGAAAATAAAGACTTAAATAAAACAAAACAAAAACTCTCGGAATTCCATCCATGAGAGCAACAGGTCCTTGGCACCTTGGTATATATCTTTTCAAACCCACATAACTTCCTTAGTAACAATTCCAAAAGTGGAATTGTGAGATAAAAGGGCATGTTGTTATTAAGGATTTTGATGTATACTGCCACTCTTTAGATCCATATGCCATTAACATACGAGTGCCTTTTAGTGCTTTCAAAAATTTTTTTTCAAACCATAAAAGTAAATGTATGGATTTAAGAAAGTTTGGAAAATAGGGCAAAACCGAGGCGGAGGTGTGAAGGGAAGGAAGAGGAGGCTAGTAAGCCACTATCCATCACTATTAATATTTCCGTACATTTCCTTTTAGTCTTTTTATCTCCTTTAGTTAAAATTTGTGACCATACTGTATATACAATTTTGCATCTTGTTTTTAGAACAATATTATAAGCTTTTTAATGTTATTAATATTCTTTATAGCTATCATTTTAGAAATCAGATTTCTATTCCTGAATTGAAATAAGGGTGAATTTCCCATAAAATCAGAGACAGAGCAACAATATCTAACTTTTGTTTATGACATGCCAAATCTTAAGGCATGACTTTCTATTTCAAAGTATAGGAGGTCCTGATTTTTCAGATGATTTGTCCAGGAAAAATGACACTTAAAGTGAATCCCCTTAAGTCCCCTGAAATGCCCCAGAATTTTGTTGTAAATGGTTGCAAAAAGATTTGATTGGGATTTTGTCTTGAAAAGACATTTAAAATTATGAAAATAAATTTTTTATCTTACATATAGCAAAATTTAAATTGTAATTTTGCATTAGTTCTTCAAAGAAAATTAGTCAATTTTTGAACTTATTGGTGGAATTTTTATGGCAAAATTATAAAATAGGAGTATGTACCATTCTTCATTTCACATTTGACTTTGTAGCAGGGCTGTCAAGTGGATCATTTTTGCAAAAATAGTAGAGCGTTTTTTCAGTTTTTGCAAGGGCCTCTTTTATTCATGTAATATTTAAACCACTCTCTTATGGTGCTCCCACAGTGTCAACTTCGTTAGCTAACTTTGCCAGATCCTCAGAGGCTCTAGTACTTGTATTTAATAGGCAGGGAGCCAAGAATCCTAAACTTCCTGCAATGTCAGTGGTGCCCTGGTTGAGAAAACACTGCAAAGCGGAATGTAGGAATCAGGATGTCAAGTGAGGATCAGTATGAAAAGTAAAAGATATTATGGACCACTCAGAATTGATACTACATTTGCTGACCTCATCTAAGCAATAACTGTCATTTAAATTGCTTGTATACTATCCCATGAAGTAGGTATGCTATAGTTCACTCAAACTTTCCATACTCTTAGACGTTTAGACCGTTTCTACTTTAATGCACTTAGAAATAATGTTTCAGAGAGCAACTTGGTTTCTAAAGCTTTGTTTTCATTTTAGATATTTTAGTTAGGATATATTCTCAGAATAAGAATTATTAGGATTAAATGTATGAACATAAGGTTTTTGAAAATTAATTTTATTCAATAAGTTTTCACCTCTGCATTTATTTATGATTGTACAGTTTTTGAGATTTTTAAAAGGCTGGATTGCATTCAATATATGTAGTATAGTTTTAGCTTTAAATTAAATGAGGTAATGGACCTTAAAAGAATTATCAATGTGCCTGATATGTAGATTTTTCAGCATATAATAACTGAATGAACTCTAGGTATACTTTTTTTTCTTGCCTTTTAAAATGAGAAGGTCGGGGCCAGCCAGGTGGCGCAGCTGTTAAGTTCGCACGTTCCGCTTCGGCAGCCTGGAGTTCGCTGGTTCAGATTCCGGGTGCAGACATGGCACCGCTTGGCAAGCCATGCTGTGGTAGGCATCGCACATATAAAAAAGTAGAGGAAGATGGGCACGGATGTTAGCTCAGGGCCAGTCTTCCTCAGCGAAAAGAGGAGGATTGGCAGCAGTTAGCTCAGGGCTAATCTTCCTAAAAAAAAAATAATAAAAATAAAAAAATAAAGTGAAAAGGTCATACAGGGTTTATGTGTTAACTTTCTGGTAACCAGTAGAGTTTACTAATTAATAACCTCACAGGCCTGTTTCCCACTAGCTTAGTTGAATGGTAGACTTGAATCTGTCTGGATGTTTATTATACCTTTACTAAAATTCCTTTCATGTGAGGAGTTATGTACTTTGAGAAATAATTCTGTTAGGATTTGTCAGTTTATTTACCCTCACTGTGTCTTTGTTCCATAGAGTCCTTCTATGACACATTCCACACCATGGCTGACATGATGTATTTCTGCCAGATGCTGTCAGTTGTGGAAACCATCAATGCAGCAATTGGAGTCACTAAGTCACCAGTGATGCCTTGTCTTATACAGGTATTGAATAGTTGAGCTCAAGGTTGGGGAGTGAAAGATTTCAGTGTTTATTTAGTAGGTTTGCCACAATTTGCTGAGAAGTCTCAATTAGTAAAAATGGCTATTTGCACAGGGATAGCGTTGTTTTATCTGAACAAGGAGGAAAACTTTAAGCCTCAGGGATATTTTCCAAAGTAGACGTTTGCCATTTCAGGTCTGTTTCATTGCATTTAACATGTTCATGAAATCATAAAGTTACAAAAAGAGGTTTAAAACTAGGGAAACTTGATTCAGGCAGGAGCAGAAAAACCTCCCTTTGATCCTTTAGAGACGGGTTTGGTCTCCTCCCACCTGGGTAGATGAAGGCAGTGTCATGCCTAGGAACTCTTCACTTGGGCGTTCTTCCACATGCGAAGGTGGTTCTTCTGACTCATGTGCGGATTTTTCTCCCACTGCATACATCTCTGTTGTTTCCCAGTATTTGGAAAATTGCTATCAGCAATGGGGCATGAGTCTTTCAGCCTCCTTGCCCTGTTTCCTAGCTATGTGATTACATAACATTAAATACCTCCCACCCGCATTCGGGGAACCAGGTGATTGTTGGTTATTCTCTTCTGGAGTGTTCTTTTTATAGTTCTACCCTTCTCTAGTATACTGACTCTAATTGTATTCTGGCTTTCTAATTAGATCAGTTGCATGGTAAAGAGTGTTAATACAATAGCCTTGTTAGCTCTAGTTTTTCTGTCCTTGGAAAGAGGCTGTTTTGTTTAGTTTAAAAGATAAAAGGGGATAATGGGCAACCCACTAAAATGAAACAATATTTTTGTATATCAAGGACTAGTACAAATAAGCATTAGGGTAGAATTTCTAGGGCAAAATGGGAGGGTCAAGTTCAGCATCATCACATCGCACGGCTCCAGGGAGTGCCATTCACTTAGAATACAGTGTGTGTGAAGCCTCCTGGAGCTGGACAGGGCCACAGGCATCAACATGGATGAATCTCGGGAAAGTAACATTGAGTAAGAAGCAAGTCACAGAATAATATGTGCAGCATGATTTCAGAAAGTTTAAAGATAGGCAAAATGAAACAATATACTGTTTAGGAATACATACATGAGCAGTAAACAAATACAGAAAAGCAATGGAATGGTTAACACAAGATGGTAGTTACTTATGGGAGCTGCCACACTGGTAATGTTCTGTTTCTTAACTTGGGTTATGCAGACACAAATGTTCTTTTGACAGTATCCTTTAAACTGTGTTTGTATGTGTGTGTGTGTGTGTGTGTGTGTTTTTAAAAATATACTATTTATGATGACATACTTACACACACACATATCTGTTCAGAAAGACTGGTTTGGGCACTTTAACTTGTTCCAAAACTGAAGCAGAGGATTAGGCTAGTTGAGCTCAATCTTTTTCTATTTACCTTGAATTTAGTGAGGTTAGGTTTCAGATACATTTATATATATATACACACATATATATATATATATATTTTACTATATTTTTAAACTTTTTCTCTTTTTGGTCCTTTTAATAGCTTCTTGGAAGAAATTTCATTTTGTTTATCATCTTTGGCACCATGGAAGAAATGCAAAACAAAGCTGTGGTTTTCTTTGTGTTTTATACATGGAGCACAGTTGAAATTTTCAGGTAGGTAGAAATGCCAGCGTGGTGTTGGAATGCTTTTTCTCCTGTGGAGTAGCTCTCTTGAGGGAATTACTGTCTTATCCAGTCTCATTTGATTTGGGATTAAGGTTCCATGTGTGGAGAGTTCTAGCTGCATCTGTGTGCTCTGCAAAGAGGAGGCGGAGTTTTTTAAAGCAGTCATTGGATCATGGTACCAGCCTGTGTGCTGGGGAGCAGAGGGAGAGGTCAGAGAAATGAAAGACCCGTCCTACCCTTCAGCATCTTGCTGTCTTGTTGGAAAGAGAGGACTCCTTCGCATGGAATTTCTTGAAAGGGCTGAAGAACCGTGGGGTTGAAGGAGCAATCCAGGTTGGATGGAACTAGTAAGGACCAGCCTCTGGAAGAAATAATAGAAATGAATCTTTTGCTACAAGATTACTGAAATTTGAATCAACCTCTTACCTGTTTCTTCCATTCTTAGTTGTCAATAAAAGAAATATCTTTGAAAAAAGAAGATCAGTCAAAGTAGATGTATTCTTGTCTACCAGACCATACGTATTCCATGTTTCTTCCTTTTTCTGTCAAGTGGAGGAAGGGTTTTGCAAATTGACTCCTCAGCTCTAGGTTTGATGGTATTTTGGAGACGTTAACAGTTGAGAGGGAGAACAGGCAGTAGCAGCCCTAGACTCTGTCTTTTTTTTTTGTTTGGTGAGAAAGACTGGCCCTGAGCTAACATCTCTTGCCTATCTTCCTCTTTTTGCTTGAGGAAGATTGTTGCTGAGCTAATGTCTGTGCCAGTTCTCCTCCATTTTGTGTGTGGGACACTGCCACAGCACGAGTTGATAAGTGGTGTGTAGGTCCGTGCCCAGGATCCAAACCCAGGAACCCCAGGTCGCTGAAGCAGACCACGCAAACTTAACCACTGTGCCACTGGGCCAGCCCCCCTAGATTGTGTCTTAACTGTGGTCTGTAGCCCATGGCACCCAGGAGACTCTAATCTCCTTAACACAAAGGTGAAAGAGATTATAGGTACTTAATACTAACTTTTGCTGATGGGGAAGAAACAAATTTCTTTTTGTATCATCTCTCTTTTTAAATAGAGTATGTCTGATTTTAGGTTAGAGGTCTTTTGTATACTTTTGATAACATTCAGTTATCCAGAGAGAAATTGTTTGTCAAAGTGTCTGTCATCCTCACCTACTTGGACCATAGATCAGAACTAGGAATAAAGCCAAAAAGCTTCTGAGTGTTCATTCTATATACCGAACTCTTCCAAGGTGGGTTCCTTTGAGACCTAAACCTAGTCTGCCATTAAAGAGAGTTCATATCTTTTGAAGACTGGGGAGGAGCATGGTGGGAGTGTGTGGGTAGATAGCCCAGGATTATAATTCTGTTCTGAAGAAGCTGTGTGTGACTGATTATGAATGATTCTTCTTGAGTGGTGTTTTAGGGTTGCTCTCAGAACCTGAAATGGCTTTTAACATCCGAATTCCTTATTTTCAATAGGTACCCCTTCTACATGCTTTCATGCATTGACATGGATTGGAAGGTGCTCACATGGCTTCGTTACACTGTGTGGATTCCCCTGTATCCTCTGGGATGTTTGGCAGAAGGTACTTTCAGGAACTTTAGGTTTTATAGCTTAGTTCTAAGGGCTAGCAAAGCCGATAGCCCAGACCTTTCTTCCTCCCTCTGCCAGCCTTAGCCTGATATATGAGTGTTGGACTTTTCAAGAAAGTTTTTATAGTGGCTTCCTTCCATAATATTCCTGATACCCAGACTATTCAGGGAAGTAGCTCATTTTGTAAGGTTTGGAAGCTGGGTGGTCATGTACTGCATACTTCCTATTTATATGCTATTTTAAATTTTCCAAAGCAAGTTCATACTGATGACTTTGTTTTATTCCGACAAGCATCTAGTGAGTGAGTCTGGCAGGGATTTCCCTCTCCATTTTATAGACTAGGACGCTGGAGCCCAGTGCTATGAAATGACTGTTCCTCGTTCATCTTCCTGTGGTCAGCTTGCAGGCTCGTCTCTTAGGGAAACTAAAGGAAAAAAAAATGAGGAGTCGTGAGCCCTCTGTACGAAACGAGGACGAAACATTTTCAACAAACCCAGAGGTTAAACTTGGAGGTTAGAAGGTTCCGTCAATCGATGTGACTTTGTTTCATTTGCATCTAACAAGTTCTTGTTTCTGCTTTCAGCTGTCTCGGTGATCCAGTCCATTCCAGTGTTCAATGAAACAGGAAGATTCAGTTTCACATTGCCATATCCAGTGAAAATCAAAGTTAGATTTTCCTTTTTTCTTCAGATTTATCTTATAATATTATTTTTAGGTAAGTATTGGCTCTGTAATAGACTTTTTCCTGTCACTTCTTAGAGGCTAGAGTTAAAAGATTCAAGGTTTTAAAAGTCCTTAATAGGATTCTTATTTCCAAAAGAGAAGTGTAGAATTAGAGAAAGATTACTTTGCAAAACAGACCCGCTAGGAGAATATGCTATGTGTGGAAATATTTTCTTCCCAGTCTCCAGGGGTTATCTTCTTGAAGTGCTCTTGGTCACTGGGAAGTTACCATAAGATATTTCGTGTTTAAAACAATGTAAGAAGCTCCTTGGAAATAGAATAAGAAGCTTGTTTTACTTTTACTAATTTGAGTAGCACATTCCTTATCCAGAGTTTAAAGAGGTGTTAATACAACTAGCACGGAGGAAGGAAGAAGGTGACAAAGGCCTCTGAGCAGCCAAAAGATGTCGTAAAGCCTCTGCCTAACAGTAGGAAACCCCCCTGCTCCTCATGTCAACCCTGCTCACTTCCTTATTCATTTCCTTTCATAAAAAATCATGAATTCTTGCCTTCATTCATAAAAACTAAGAACTAAAAGATGGCAAAAAGAAGTAAACCTAAATTGTTGCAAATATGAGAGCTTTAAAAGCCTTCCTAACTATAAGTGGTTTACTTTAGATAACGTTCTAACACCTTTTAATATAATTTATGTATTTCTCCCTTCTTTAGTTCACAAAGTCTTGAGGTAGCCCTAAATAAGTATGGCTGGCTGGTCTAGCAACAGAAGGATGTGACAGCAGATAGTATATTTGTTATCTATTGCTGTGTGACAAATTATCCCCAAACTTAGCAGCTTAAGACAGCAAATATTTATTATCTCACATGGTTTCTGAGGGTCAGGGAGCAGCCTAGCTGGGTGGCCCTGGCTTGGGGTCCCTCATGAGGTTTCAGTCAAGCTGTCAGCTCAGCTGAGGCTACAGTTTCTGCAGACTTGCCTGCAGTTGGAGAATCTGCTCCAGGCTCACTCGTGTAGCTGTGGACAGGAGGCTTCGGTTTCTTGCCACAGTACTTCTCCATATGACTGCTCATGACATGGCTTCCCCCAGAGCAAGTGATCTGAGGGAGCCAGAAGCCAGACTGCCTTTTGAAAAATTTATCTATTTGTTTTTTATTGAAATGTATTTGACATATAACCTTGTGTAAGTTTAAGGTTATACAACATGTCAACTTGATATATTTATATATAGTAATATGATTGCCATTGTAGTGATAATTAGCACCTCTATCACGCCCACATGCCTTTTGTAATCTAATCTCAGAAGTGCCATACCGTCACTTTTGCCGCATTCTGTTGATTACACAGACCAACCTAGTACAGGAAGGGACTCCACAGGGGTGTGACATACCAGGAGGTAGGGATCATTGGGGACCATCCTGGAGGCTGGCCACCCCAGACAGTGAGAGGAAGACCACAAAAAGTAAAACCAAGAAGCCGGAAGGCCCAGTGGTCTTGGTCACTTAGTACTGGGGGATGAGAGACCTACACCCTTTAGGGTCGCCTCTGGGTATCAGCACATGGCAGAAGCACAGTTAAATAATATACATTATGGGTGTGGGTCATTTACCAAAGGTTAAATTTTATTCCATTTCTTTTCTATTTCAGAAAGGATATAATGCATTTTAGAAAGATTTCTAGCCAAAAATGGTAAAATGTTTGGCCCTTGAAGGGATTAGGGTTCAGTTTGGGAAATGCACTCATTAGAAGAGCTCTTTACCTCTATATGAATCTAGTATTACTGTAACTGGGCTCCATGGGGTGGGCATACATAAAGTATTAAAGAGCAGTAAGTATTGGAAAGACTGCTAAAATATTTCACTAAAGAAGTTAGAAGGGTAGAAGTATCTTAATGTGCACTAACCCTAGTCGCTTTTCTTCGTGTTATGTGGTCGCACACTCCAGTTTACAAGGCTGTATACTCATATTTAGTTTGCCTGCAATGAACATGTAATTGTTCTTATTCTTCAGAAAGAAATAAATCCTCAATTTTCATAACTTAGAAGCAGTATAACAACCAGTTATATTTATACATAGATCAAGTGCTTTTCTAAACATATGTTCTCTCACAATAAGTCTGTAAAATAAATGTTTTTAACCCTCTTATACAGTGAGGAAACTGAGGTGAGGCTGAGCCACAGGACAAGTCAGTGGTCAAGTAGGATTGAAATTTTTTCACTCTGAAATCCTGTGTTTTCTAATTCACTGAGTTGTGCTTCCTAGAAAAGTGTCTCATGCCTTTAGACTTTGCTTAATACATGTTAGTGTGTAGGCTTGAATTAAAAATTGGGTTGTGGGGCCGGCCTGGTGGTGCAGCAGTCAAGTGCGCATGTTCCGCTTCAGTGGCCCGGGGTTCATTGGTTTGGATCCCGGGTGCAGACATGGCACAACTTGGCAAGCCATGCTGTGGTAGACATCCCACATATAAATTAGAGGAAGATGGGCATGGATGTTAGCTCAGGGCCAGTCTTCCTCAGCAAAAAGAGGAGGATTGGCAGTAGTTAGCTCAGGGCTAATCTTCCTAAAAAAAAAAAATAAAAAATTGGGTTGTTTCTATTCTTCAGGTTTGTGTATTTCATTTTATGTAAATCTTACCTTAAAAGAAAGAAAGTAAAAAGGAATACGGAACTCTACTCAATGAAATATTTAGGGGTAAAGTGTGCTGATCTGGAACTTACATTGAAATACATAAAAAATGAGATGGGAATGGGTATGAGATAAAGTAAATATAATAAAAAGTTAAAGGTGGTATTCACTATATAATGATTCAGTCCTTTTTTGTATGTTTGAAAGTTTTCCTAATAAAAAATGGGAGAAAATTAAATTGTAAACCCACTGGGAAAACACTGAGTTGTCTCTAGTGCGTTGTTAGTAATTGGTTCTAAGTTGTACGTCCTGAACAGCTGCAGTAAGCACAGTGCTGTGGGATATGAAGAACAGACAACTAGAGACTGTCCTTGCCCCAAGGGCTTCTGGTTGTAACCAAAGACAAAGATTCTCATTTCTAATTGGCCTCTTTTCTTTTTCAGGGTTATACGTAAATTTCCGTCACCTTTATAAACAGCGCAGGCGGCGCTATGGACAAAAAAAGAAAAAGATTCACTAAAAAGAGAGAGGTGACTTCTTGCCAGTTTGAGCCTAATCTATAATTCCTACAGTTTTACCTTCTTGTACTGATGTAAAAGTCTTTTTAAAAAGTGAAACAATTGAATTCTCAGCAAGGCTATCTTCCCTTTTCCCCAGTAACATTCCTGAATTTACCGTATTATCTTAGTGTAGTCCTTGCATGACATGGATTCCTGATATCTCATGACAGGTTCATTCTTGTATATTCTGTTAGTGACGGCAAAAAACTCAGCCCTACCCCCACCCACTCTGTGTCCAGTCTGTTTCACACAGGCCAGAGATAATTCTTCAGTTTCCTGACCCTCCCAGGTACTGGCCATTCTTAGAGCTGGGATTTGTTCTTTTCAGCTATTGTGTGTGAAAAAAAAAAAAACAAGACTCTGTTGCTTTATAGGAGGCTGTAAAAGTGACTCAACAGGACTAATGTATTTGAACCAGAGGGTTACTTGTTAAGTGGGGTGGCGTTGATTTTTTGAAATGATTGATAAAACATTTGTGAGTCTGAGTGGGGCTAGAGAACATGTATTTCCTCTGAATCTTTTGGCCTCTCTGACATCTGTGACTGCAGTGCCTCCCTGTGTGGGGCCTCTCGAGGCAGAGTGATTTGACAGAAACCACTCAGAACCTTGGAAGACCATGATCACTTACTTCATTCATAGTTAAACTGGGACAATTTTCAACACAAAAGAAAGATGAAACATTAGTTAGAAAACAATGAGATGATAAGACTTCCAAACCGAAATGGCTACAGGGGTCAGATAGGTCAAACTGGCAGTAAGATGGCTGCTGACAATGCAGCCAGTGGCAAACTGGAAACATTACAGTAGGCCAGACTAAACACACCTACAAAACTGTCTTGGGCTGTGCACAGTCCTAAAATAACTCAGCCTGCCTTCCCTTGCACTGGCTGAGTCCATTTACCCGTGTCCCTGTCAGAGTGAGTGGTGGGATTGTTTCTGAATACACCTCAAAAACACCTGCTTTTACTGCGCTGTTGTTTCACCAGTCTGCAGTAGGACAGTGAAAACAGTGAGAACTCTGGCTCGAGGACGACCAGCTGGTCCTTTAACAAAGATTCCTGGCAGGAAAGCCACCAAGAGAGGAACTGAAAAAAATCTAGACAATTTAAAGTTTGGTCATTGTCAAAAACATGAGTTTCCTCTAATACATTCCAAGTGAACCAAGTAAAATAAAGTGCTAGAAGTAACGCTTGTATAAACAAATTTAAGGCTTGATAGCTCTTTCTGTTCTGCCATTCATTGTTCCTGGAGGAAAGGGGACTCAATGAATTAATGCTGTTTCTCTGAGCCCAAGATGGAAACTTGGTTTGACCTAAAAACATCTGATTAGCATAGGCTGGCTCATTTTTTACAAGTTCATTGCACTGAAGGATATTTTGCATGTCTGTAACTTCTCTCAACACTTGTTTGTATTAACTTCTTATGTTCTTTCAACTGACTTTCTGTGTGTAATTGGGCAGATCAGCTTTGCAGTAGATGATGCTGCATCTTTGTGGCAGAATCTTGTATTCTTAGTGGTTGTTATAAATCTCTTTATTGCTGTCTGAGAAAGCAAAAGATTGTGTATTTCTATTAAACATTTACAATCAAAATCCTAATAACTTGTGTTTAAAAATCATTTAGTCTAATGGTTTTCAAATTGGTAGCGATAAAGTCCTTTGTTCAGAGAAATATTAAATAACACTTCAGCATTAAACCAAAATGGTTGCTTGGGTTGAAGCCTGAGGGAATAAACCTTAGGAGATCCACAGAACAATCTGAAAAGCATTGATGATGTAAATAAAGCCTGGAGAAGTTACATGACTTGCCTAAGGTCATGAAGCTAGCTGATGAACTGGAACCATAACGGCAATTATGTCAGAATCTACCTGGATGAGACCTGGCTTAGGCAGTGAGGCCTACCCAGTGTCAGAAACAAGGAAGTCAATGTGGAGCCCAAAGAACCCTCCTGATTTATGAATCTGTGCCACTTAGGAAGTTGAAATTACATTCAGGTGATAGGAGAGACAGTAAATTTCCCAGTGAAACCATTTTATAGAAAATGAAATATTTTATTTTCATTTAAAAAAAACCTCGAGGAAATGGGAATCATTTTATACATTTATGGTTGCTGTTTAAAAGTCTATCTCAAGACATACCAAAAGCACCTAAGGGTCACCACCAAGTTTTTGCTCAAGTTCTAAAACTTAGTGGTGTTGGGTTTGTACTTAGCAAGTCCCAGACATTCTAGGTTGCTCATTCCAAGGAGAGAAGCTTGAAAATGTCCTTATGGTTGAGAGAGGACAGAGGAGAAGATGCCTTTCAGGAAGCCAGAGAACCCTTGCTGGTTAGGTTTCCTGAGGAAGGTGGGGAGAGCTCTGTGTTTATCAGTCCTTCAAGCTTCTCAGGAGATGTGCCCATCGTGGGAGTAACAGTTGTCTTTTGAGCTTAAACACTCTGTGCCCCAGAAAGCTATGGTCAAAGCCCAAGCAGCCAACCACCCTTCAGAACCCTTCTCAGACTGTAGCAGGGTCATTCAAACCAGCAAGTGGTGCTTCTGAGGCAGCCTCGGGGAGGTCTTTGGGTGGCTATTGCAGAGGTGAACAGACTGGAAAGGTTTTTACCCTAAATCATTTCACTTAAAATAAAAAAAGAAGGAAGGTTCCCTAAGTCAGCTTCACATTCTTTCAGTGCTGCTCCCAGAGAAGTCTGTCTGCAAAGGTGTGATGTTGTGGTCATACCCAGCATACTCGGAGGTGCCAGTACTGGCCAGCTTGAGCTGCTGAGCAGCGTGGGTCAGCTGGAATGCAGCATCAGGGTGGGCTGTGTCAGGCAGCAGTGTGCATTCCCTTTCCAGCATGTCAGCCACCCCTTTGAGCAGGTCCAGGAAACCAAAGGCCAGGGCAGCCTTTCGCAAACGGTTCAGCTCCTGAAACAAGATAAACACCAACGTTCCTGAAGTGCACTTTCCTCATCACATACTTTGTAAGTGCTCAGCTTACAACACATTCTCCTTGATCCCTGAACTTGAGTGAGCATTTTTATATGAGAACAAATGCTTGTATAGAGATGCCAATAACAAGGGAGCGTGATGACCTGACTGGGAAAGAGTTCCTCTACAGGTGATCAGAGAGCTAGGTAAGGAAGACAGCTGTCTGAAGCAGCGGTCATCATCACCACAGTCTGCACTTACGCCAGACATGGTGAGGCACTCTGCATACGTCATTTCATTTACTCGTAACTCTGAGGATTACTTTTCCTGTTACTCAGGTATGGAAAAGGCTTGCACCAAACCTCAGAGGGCCCCTTACCCTCCAGTGCCTCTCTGGGTGAGCCTCAGATGGAATGACAGTGAACATGTTTGGAGGAGGCACTGAAGGAGTCAGGAAGTCTGACCTGAAAGACTGCCACAAAAAGAAAGGTTGAGCGGTGGAGGCAGAGTAATGTGAAGTGACCCATCTACCACTTAGCAGTGCGATCTGGGCAAGCTGTGTAGCCTCTCTGGGTCTCAGTGGCCTCCTTTACAAAATGAGAAGCCTAGCCTCTTCCTTGCCCACTGCAGTCACCTGGTAGAGGCCCTTTCCAGCTCTGATATGTAGGATTATATAAAACCAGAAGAGAAATGGCTTTCTGACTACCTCTACTATCATCTGTTAAGAAGTGAAAAGTTCAGAAGAAGGCCAAAGTACAAGTGTGCCATTTTGGATAGACAGTTGACAGTTGTGTGTAGAAAGCTCTGCAGGGCTACAGCCAAGGAGTGGTCATCTCGGGTCTGTGTGAATTATGGGCTTCAGTTACGGGGGCGCATGGAGGGCTGAGCAGCTCTCTGGTTGGACGCTGATTAAAGTTACTTTTGCTTGATTTCACCAGCTCGCTACATAATTAAGTTTGAAGACAACAGTGACATAAAGGTAATGAGATAACACCCAGACAAAGTAGTATGTATGTTCTCCGGAAGAGATGCTAGCCTGGGGCACGCTGTGTGTACCACATTTTAAGACTAGCAAGCTAGGACACAACTGACAACACAGCATACCTCACACTGCCACTTAATTTAATTTCAGTCAAACACCAGAAGGACAGGGAAGAAAGAAGGAGTGAGTTTAAAAGCCTCCCCTACTCCCTCCACCCTACGTAGCTTTATTCTCTCCACCAACGGTTCTGGATTAGCCATCCTCTTACAATTCATAAATGCGTAATTTTAGAAGTCATTCCTGGAAGCAGCTTCTCTGGTACAGTAGGAGTGTTCTGGGCAATCACCATCCCAGGAAGTCACGTACACTGGTAGCTTGGGGTTAGATGGGTACCCAGATGGGAGTGGTGAGGGCGGTTAAGGGCTACGACTCAGTCCTTTCAGCAACTTCCCTCAGCCATTCCCAGCAGCACCAACACAGAGAAGCCCTTCTGCACAGAACCAGGCCATTTACACACTTCCAATTTTTGGATTTTAGGGCAGCAATGGACCTATCACTTCTACTGAGTTTACTGATAAAAAACTGAGGCAGAAGCCATACATTTCTAATCCCTGTCCATGTTCACTCTACTACCCCACACGCTAATTACTGTGAACCGTTTATTTTTGGCACACATCCCAGGGCCTACCCTCCTCCTCTATAATTTTGATAATCTCACCTTATAGAACGTCTGGGTTTTTTCAGGTAGTTTCCTTGCATTTCTTAAAATCTTCTGTACATCTGTCTATCAAGGGTGAAAAGAATTCAACATTAGAATTCTGTGGTAAAAAGGGAAAGACTACAAAAGGCTGGCTTTAAATGTTTAAAGAAATGAAAATGAGAACAGAGATACAGTGTCGAGACGAGAATCCCTTCTGAGTTGTCACCATTCTGTTCATTAGTAAAGCACTTCCCTCCTTCAAAATGCTTGATGATAGTGAATTCCTTGGTGACAGAAATGAACTTCTCTCACAAAAACACACCCAGGAAACCCATACATCTATGGCCAGTTGCTTTTTGACAAGGGTGCCAAGACCATTCAATGGGGGAAAGAAGAGTTTCTTCAACAAATGGTGCTAGGACAACTGGATAGCCACATGCAAAAGAATGGAGTTGGACCCTTACTTCACATGATATACAAAAAATTAACTCAAAATGGATCAGAGACCTAAATGTAAGAGCTAAAACTATAAAACTCTTAGAAGAAAGCAGAGGGGTGAATCTTTATGACCTTGGATTTGGCAATGATTTCTTAGCTATAACAACAGCACGGCAACAAAAGAAAAAAAAAATTTGACAAATGTTCATGCAGCATTTGCAACAGCTAAAAGGTGGAAATAATCCAAATGTTCATTGACTGAATGAATAAACAAAATGTGGCATATTTATACAATGGAATACTATTCAGTCATCAAAAGGAATGAAGTATTGATACATGCTACAACATGAATGAACATTGAAAACATTATGCTAAGTGAAGGAAGGCAAACATATTATATGATGGCATTTATGTGAAATATCCACAATAGGCAAATCCATAGAGAGAAGCAGATTAGTGGTTGCCAACCGCTGGGGGAAGATGGGAATGTAGACTGACTTGCTTAAGGCAGAGGGTTTCTTTTTGGAGTGAGGAAATGTTGTGAAACTAGATAGTGGTGATGGTTGTATGATGCTGTGATTGTGCTAAATGCCCCTGAATTGTATACTTTAAAATGGCTGAAATGGTAAATTTCTTGTTATATATATTTCACAACAATAAAAAAATACACCCAGACCAAAACAAAATTTAAAAAATAATTTCAGGAACATTCAGCTATTCTTCTGACAGGGAAGTGCCAGGGTCAGGGATGGCAGGAAAGAGGGAGAACCTGATTTTCCAACAAAGAGAAGAGGCCCCTGCCCCTTAGCCATGGCAGGACGTGTACACTCTCTGTGAAAAGGAGGCCAGAAGAGACTGCCATCAACAGAAGCTACTTCTGTTGTCAGGTGGTCTGACTGCCTCTTTTCACTTACACTGGACTCATTGGAAGAACAAAGAAAATAAAATGCTGCTCAAATGAGAAAAAAGGCTCAAAAAGTGATTTTTTAAAAAAATAGGTGTAAATGACTTTATGTCAACTGAAGGAGAAATGTCAGTGACAGCCTTGCCTGAAAGCAGCATACCTTGATAACAGTAGAATCTTAGCTTCCCAAGGAAGTGTTTTTGTGGAATTACAATGTAATGCTATGGCTTGGGTTCTACTGTGGGAATGGAAGAAACAATCACATGAAGATTTTTAAATCTTTCTCAAAACTGTTGTTAAAGATAACACCCATTATGTTATTCAATGCCTCACCATGTTAAAAACTTTACATTAAAATTAAATGCCAGGAAAATGTGTCTTTCTAGAAGAACTAATATGCTTCTTTTTAATCAGGCAAGAAAAACCATATAACCCTACTTGTTTCTTTTTTGACCTTGGTAGCAGGAAGCTCAGAGCCAAATACAATTATCATTTTGCCTTGGGTTCCCGGCACAATTGTCTCCCCTCTTCCTCTAGGTTTTCTACTGCTCTAAATTTTGTAAAAAATGATTTTGCCAAATAGGTGTTTTACTGTAGGCCACCTCAAATCCTTTTTGGAAATAATGACAAACATTAGAAGTAAATGAGTTACTAAGTATCAAA